CATACAGGGGACCTCAAAAGTATTAATAGGTTGACAGCACAGTTTCTCTGTATAGTCATATCACATGAATTAAATATGCTTGAAAAGACATAAAACAAAACCCATAATAACCTATCATTTGTGGAAACACAAGGTTTGGTGGGAGGATTGGCATTAGTACTGGGTAGTGGAGGAATCACATTTCCAGTTTTTAAGAACATGTCCAACAACAAAAGATATTTGGTAAAAACAAAAAGGCTGAACTGTGCTTTTTGTGGAGATCCATGCAGAGCTTTGTTGTTTTTAGAGAGGAGTGGGAGGCACTACGGCTGAGGGGCAGTGTGGCCGAGGGTCGATTTATTTTTCAGATTCACATTTATGAACACAAAGAGCAGAGCTGTCAGCAGCACACAGGCCAGGGCCCAAATAGCAGCCAGACCTGCCTCTCCCCATCTGGTTAGGACAGACACAAGATGATATCTTACAATCCTGGAAAATAAACAGATTCAGATATAAGGGACTCGAGGGAAAAACCAGTTCTGGGAAATGTCCGGTTACATATCATTATTACTTATTAGAAATTTGGGGTTTTAAAGAATTGAGGAAACAAGGGATACCTGACCAAGCAAAAGCAGATAATCAAAAAGGCAAGCCCTAAAATAAACTGACTTTCATGCACCTTTCTAAACCAAAAAGACTCAAACCCATTGCTACAGAGACAATTTCGACTCATAGCAACCCAAAGAACAGAGCAGGATGGCCCCACGGGGTTCCCAAGACCATAAATCTTAACAGAAACAGATTGCCACATATTTCTCTGGAGGAGCCACTGGCGAGCTCAAATGGCCAACTTACAAGTAGCTAGCACTTAGACCACTGCATCACCAGGGTTTATTATGCACCTTCTTGTCACTGCTGTTGGTAAGAGCTGAGTTGGTTCTGGCTCATAGCAAGCCTGTAAAGGGCATGAACTGACAACCTCATGATTAGCAGTTTAGTGTTTATCCTACAGTGCCACATCAGGACACTGTATCTTCCTAGTAGGTAAAGAAGTAAACATTAACACATACAGCAAGAGAGCAGATGCATGGAAAATAGCACTGCTTAGATGAGTAGCAAGCACCTAACAGATCCATTCAAATGAGTGCACATTGACAGTGTGGCAAGCCAGGAACTATATCCAAGGCAGGATCTTAAGCTGCATTTCGAAGCCCACATCTTACTAGAGAGACAATAGTCCCTCTCTAGGTCAGTAATAAGACTGCATCTAAAAAAACTGAATATTATTTTCTACACTGAGATGAAGAAGCTGAACAAGCAACAGTTGAACAAACCGCTAAAGAATCAGCTAAAAATATATTTCTTCTCTAGAAAGAATACTAGAAATGTTCAAAGTGATTCTCCTTCAGATATACTTCATGTAACAATTTACACAAGATAAGTCATTTAAAAAATAAAAGGATAATGTTTTGCACTGGACTGATAAAATTATGGTCTGGCCAATCTAGGATGCTTATGTTGAAGAATGATTAAAATTAGTAAACACAAAGCTGTAAAGCAAAACAAAAATCCTGAAAGATCTGTATTCACCAGGGAGAGTGTGAATGCAGTAAAGGAAAGGGCTGAAGCTGAGGGAGGCACCTCGACTACTTTCATGTCTCATGATTACACTCCAGCTAGCCACACAATGCTTCACAATTTACTGTGCTGACTCACATAAATTACTTCATTTGATCCTCATAACAAACAGTGTGAGAAGGTCAGGATAGGTATTATTATCCCTAGCTTACAGATGAGAAAACTGAATTTCCAAATCACATAATCATTGACTAGTTCTATCAGTAATCTGAAACTAAAAACTTAATTCCATCAGGGTATTTCCCAGCTATGCTAAGTATCAAGAGAGGTTAGCTACACAACCCACAGAGAAAACTTCAGCATGTATTTGTGCATCTATGTCTCAGTGTCTCTATAATGACAAGTGGCGTTAGAAGCAAAAGATAAAACTGCAAGCATATAAATATAAATATGGGAACTTTGGTTTTAAAGCAGCTCACTATGCAGAATTTTTATACTTTAAGCCAAAAGCTAATCAAGAAAGAAAAAACAGTGATAAAAGCAATCATTTTAAATTGTAAACAATGAAGACTACTGGTCTGGGTGATGTATTAAAGATCCAATTATCTTTAGTCTTCCAAATTTGTGAAACATAATATTTAGGAACCACATGGTACTATCTGAAAGTGGTAAACTGGCCTTAGTAGATGTAATTTAAGACACATTTAACAGGATATTTTTAAAATTCTGTATGTGTCTGTGTTTTAGACTTCTAATATAGTTTTATTTAAATTTCTCAATGAAAACAAAACTTTCTTTAAAGCAAAATAAAAGAAAAACAGAGAAAGAATACACCTCCAATCTTTGACTCAATGTCTTGGCAACAAATCTGAGTATCATAAGTTTTGATGATAAGAACACTGAATGATTTACTATAGCCAGGAAAAAGAAGTGTTTACAAAACAAACTTCTAATTTATCAAGAGAGGTAGACCCACAGTCTGACTTGAACCTCTGGGGATAGAAGGCATTAGTTTCTGGGCTTATATGTAAATTGTGGATAGCATAATCAGACACAATCCTGTGATGGTGGTGGTGTTAAGTGCTGTTAAGTGGGTTCTGACTTATGGTGACCCTGTACGGGGTTTCCAAGGTGAGTTTGAACCGCCGACTTCCTGGTTCAAACTGACCTTGAGGTCAAGTGATTATCCTACAAAGCACCTATAAGAACTGCTTTATTTGAACTCACAATACTATAAATGTACATTAAATGTGACTTCCAGTCAAATGTTAGTGTTTGTCACTAAAGAAAAGCCAAATATATTTAGTTAAATTACTTCAATTCTAAGAATACAGTTAATTGCTCATTTGAGTTATCAGAAGTCCAAGGATCACAAAACTCATCTGGCACATTCTACTGGAGGAAATACAGTATTCCCTTGTTCATTAAAAAATAAATAACATTTGAAAAGAAAAGTTTCTTTACTACGGAAAGTTTATCCATCAGCTGCTGAAACATTAATCGTTGAAACTCTCGAATACATGTAAGTTAATCAGGCAACTAGTAGAGTTCAAACTTTCAATTAACAAACTACATGCCTTTTCAAACGTCGGTTCTCCGTGCTGTGCCAAACACTATGCAGAAATCAATACCCCACCTTGCCTGCCTATAATGACTTGCATAGAGTAAGGACATTATGCGTCAGAGATGCAGGTAGTAATGCTTTTTCCGGAGAGAATCAAATCAGCCCCCTGGATCATTCATTGGATACAGCAGCTGCCCTCTGCATACACATCACCTACATTCTAGTACAAGTGTTTTCCCTCCACATTGCTGTTATTTCATAATCTCTGCCTGCGAGCACAACACATGCTGCAGCCTGAGTCTGTTGCCTAACTCCCTTTATAGAGTCCTAAAGGGACTGGAGAAGGAGTTCTGGTAGCGTAGTGGTTATGAATCGGGCTGCTAACCTTAGGGTCAGCAGTTCGAAACTATCAGCTGTTCCGCGGGAGAAAGATGAGGCTTTCTGTTCCGGTAAAGGATTGTAGCCTCGGAAATGCTGTACAGGGTTGCTATGAGTCGGAATCGACTCCACGGCACATAACAACAACAAAGGTTCTAGAGAGAATGTATAAACTGTTATTCCGGAAAACAACAATTTGAGCTTATTTTCAGGAAACCAAGCAGCCATATGAGAGCAAGTAACAAACACAAAGTAAGTTCTTTCTCCGCAGCCTCCGCCAGAAGCGCACATGTACCTTTCTCCTTCATCCCCTAGATCACTTTTGCACCTCCATCTGCACCCATGATCCCAGGCAGCAGAGGTGCTTGCCAGACAATCTGAGCTAGCTGACCTGGCAAAAAAAGTTGTCAAGACTGGGCGAGAGGCAGATAAGTGCCCAGGAGCCCGCTCCCCAGTGTCCACCTGGAGAAACTTCATAGTCCCCAGAAGAGAGAAAGAAGCAACAACCTTCAGGAAGGGTAACAAAACTGGAAGAAAGCAGAGGAAGGAACCGAGAGCCGGGGTTCCCCGATTTCTCAGTGTGGCTTTACTTAAAATCCAAAGGACTATCGTGCGAGGCTGAACCACATCCCTCCTTTTGGGTTTTCCTGGGAGCCAGCAGTCGTTTTCAGCTTATCACAGACCGGCTCTGGGAGTTCATGAGCCACCTTCATGAACTCCCATTTTCCGGAGATGTGGAATCTCTCTTTGGGTCAGGGTTTCCCGACTCGACGTTCAGAACGGTTCGGCGTGGTTCCTTCGAATCGTATTTTAAAATATCTTACAGGCTCCGCCAGTACGCGTATGAAACATTGTCCATGCAAAACCTAACTCACAGGGCAAGTCCAGTAGCAACCCCACACTGGAAGAGAAGAGGTGGGGGAGGGACAGGGAAGTATCCGGACAATAGTCAGGGGAGGTAATTCCCGGGACAAAAAGCACCTGGCAGAGCGCGCGGAGGTCAGTTCCTTTGAAATCTCCACATTTCTGACAATGGCTTCCCAGGGAATTTTTTTTTCTTTTTTGAACACTGTAGTGGCAAACAGCAACAAGCCTGCACCACGAACAACAAAGTGGCCGTACCCACACTCATAACTACTTTTCTCTTTTCTCTCTTCTCCATTAACCTAGTGCACACTATGCTAAACGCCAAGGTTGCCAATTTCCCAAGCCAAGCAAGGTTTCCACACACTAAGGTCCGGCCGGGCCAGCCCCGCGCCGCCGCACACTGGAACAATGGGTCGCAAAGATGAAAGTTACCTGCTTCCAGTAGTGGACGCAGGGTCTGGTGCCCCGGATCCCACCTGACACCATCTGGGACATCTCACTAACCGGTACACCCCAGACCACGAAAGCTTCCCCAGAATGATAGCCCCCGGCCCTAGCGTGGAACTGGGTCCACCCTCTGGAGCCCCGAGCCCGGGGCAGGCACCGGGGATCCTGGCACCCTCCGGCCACTCACCTGCGGAGAACTGGCCTTGGGCAGACCCCAGGAGAGACCACGGTGAGAAGAGTAAGAGCGCCATAAAAGCAGGGAGCGCTACAACCGTTGTATCCATGTCGACTTTGGGAGAAGTTTCAAGCAGCTTTGCAAAGAGCTGCCGGGAGAGATCGCAGCGAAATCCACGACAGAGGAGGCGATCGGACCTCGAAGGGTGAGCGCGAAGAGTCGGCAGTCACCCTCGGACACTTTTCCCTTCTTGGCGGATGCCAAACTACCTCCGTGGCGAAAGCGTCGCCCTCGTTGGTAGCTGGCCGTGGCGGCAGCTCTCCATGCTTCGCGAAGGCTGCTCCTGTTAGTCAAGAGTTACTTTGCTCGGGGAGGGACGGGGGCGGAGCCGGGGGTGACGTAGCCCCGTGGGCTCCCGGCGCTTCTAAGGAATGCGAGCTCAGGCGCGGCTCCGCCGCCTGCTGCCAGAGAGACGCGCGCCAGCCCGGCCGCGCGCCCGGTGCCTCGCGCCGCCTTTGTTCGCTGCTACTGCCGGAATCAGAGTTCCGGGGCAGCGAGCGGGAAAAGGGGACCTGGCACCGTCCACTGCCAATTCCAGAAATTCGAGTTGGAAACATGCGAGTTTGGTAAGCGATGCTGCTGGACCACGGAGGACGAGCGCTAAAGCACCCGCCGCCTCGCCTCGTGGAGTGGCGTCCCGGGGCTATGTCCCGGTGGGGGGATTCTACCAGAGCAGCTGCTGGTAGGATGAAGGAGGAGTGTAGAAGCACCCTAAAAAAAAAAAAAAATCCCACCCCCACTGAAAATTTACAGTTCGTTATTTATGTAATAACGAATACGACACCTCACCCCCATTGAAAACTTATTGTTCCTTATCCATATAATAAATAGAACTTGAATGGAAAATAAACGTTCAGTAACTTTCCAGTGAACAGCTGGCGTGTCTCCTTTTTGGTTTATTTGTCATTTGCCAAATGTTTGAATTCACTCTCTGCTTCATTGGCTTTGCTTGTTTTGAAACCTTCAGGCCTTTTTCCACTTCTCTCACCTAGGAACTGCTTCAGGACTTACTTACTATCTAGCCCTTTCTTTTGAATAGAAGAGGTGGGGGGGGGGTTGGTGGGGTTGTTTCAATAATATCTAATAGCCGATTAAGACATTAAATAAAAGAAATTTACACCGACAATGAAAACAACAGCAAATTATCCATGTGGAAGGAGAAGAATAATGCCATACTGTGACAGTTACGTTCAGGTGGTGCTGTGTTGAAGCGCACAGTTGCTACTGAAAGGTCAACAGTTGAAACCCACTAGGTGAAAGATGAAGCAAAGATTTACAGCCCTTAAAACTCTATGTGGCAGTTCTACTCTGTCTTATAGGGACAGTGTGCATCAGAATCCACTCAACAGCAGTGATATGATTTGGTTTGGTTATAACAGTTACTGTATTAGTTTGCTACTTTCTCAGCAGCTTGAAGTGGTTTCATCATATGCAACCTTCACTTGCTTCTGTGGTAAGGTTTTATGACATATACTTTTATTCATTTTGGTAAATTATCAAAGAAGTGTGGTTACATATGAATAAATATAATAATTTTATTTAGAATTGTGATCTCTGTATAATTTCTAGAACAATAGATTCTATTGATTGGCATCTGTCAGTTACTCATCCTTTGTGAATCTAGACCATGTGAAATTCAATGTAGTATATGCTGGAGTGGCCCCGTGGGATAATGTGCTGGACTGCAAGGTCAGTTTGAACCTCAAGGTCAGGGGTTCAAGCTTACCAGTCTTTCCTCAGAAACCCTATACAGGGTCGCTATGAGTCAAAACTGAGTAGAAGGCACTTAATAACAACAACAGTATAGCATTTTTATATTTTCCGGAGGCATATGCTGTTCCTTTATTCAAATTAAATATGTGTGTATGTGTATAATACACATCTATATCTGTATATATACATATACACACATTGTGTATATATCAAATTTATGACTGTGTGTATGTGTGTGTGTATATATGAAATTAGGAAGGAAAAGCCTTTTTATTTTTTTAATTATATAAGAATAGCAGTTTGATTAAACAAAATTTGGAGTCTTCCACCTAGCGTATTAGCAGACTGACTAGCCCAATACTTGTCAATTCAGTTCAGCATTTTTAATCTTTCCTTGGGATACAATATAGAAATTTTTTAAACACATTTGCCTACAGCTGTTAGCACATCATCACCATTTCTCTTTCTTTGAGTGACATTCCTGGATCCCAGATTACCAAAAACAACAACAACAACAACCTGAAGGACATACATTTACTTTAGGAAGGACTTAAACATTTTAAAATTTAGCAGCTATTTGCCTCAGAAAAGCAAAGCCCACCAGCTATATACTAATCCAACTATTTTTAATTCATTTAAAAAGATAGTGGGAGAATATGACTTGTGTGTGTGTGTATTTAAACACCAAGAGAAAAAACTTGTTTAAGGATAGACCTACAGTATAGAGTCAAAGCGCATGTAGTCCTTAATTTGCCCATTCAGGTCAACTAAAGGAACATTGATTTTACTTTCTCTATCAAAAAAATAATAACTATAACAGGTAAAAATATACTAGATGCTGTCAAGTTATACAATGTTTCATTTTCTCATTGAGTTCAGACAACAATCCATCCACAATGACGTAATTGTTATTACCATTTCTCAAATGAGAGAATGAGGTTAGAGCACATATATTGGTGAGAAGTACTAGAGACACAGTTAAAACTTAGAAGTGGGGGAGAACAACAAAATGAAGAAGGAAATGATAAAAAAGAGGGATCAACCAACCAGCAAAGATGCCTTCTCACTAAAAATCAAAGAAATGCAGTAGAACTTTTGGGCAAGTGAAATCAGTCTTAAATGTGGAGCAAAACTCAATAAAGACCAGATGTATTGATCTGAGTCTGGTAGAATCCCTGAGACTAGGGTCTTAGACACCCTTCAGACCTAGACCTGAACTCACCCCTCAACTTTCAGCCAATCAATGTGCAGGCCTGTAGGGTAAACAGTAACAACCAGGAGGTCTGCAGTCTTTAGAACTGTCAACCTTCGGAGATCAAAAGGGCAGCATTTCCCTGTGGATGAAGCCCAGAAAGCAGGAAGGGGTGGGAAAGATGGATGAATGGAAATAGTAAACACAGGGGAGAAATGAGAAGGGTGCTGTTACTTTGCAGGGATTACAATCAATTAAAACAAATGTGCATGAATTGTTGAATGGAAAACCAATTTGCTCTGTAAACTGTAAACTTTCACCCAAATCACAATACAAACTAAAAAAAAAAAAAGGCAATTCAGTCATTCTGTCTTTGGTGACAATAATGATGGTCATAGTGGATTGAAATCATTTGAGCAGAAATCATGTGTGTCTTCTGCCTAACTACAAACCAAAATCAAACCCACTGCCACCAAACCATTTCTGACTCAGTGACCCTATACAGAGTTTCTGAGATTCTGAATCTGTATGGTGCACACAGCCTCATGTTTCTCCCATGGAACTGCCCTTCTGGATAGCAGTCTAGCACCTTAATCCACAGTGCCACCTGGCAAACACCAGGAACTTTGTACTTTTGAAAGAATGAACAACATCAATCAAGGAAAATAAATTAGTTATAACTTTTTTTAAAATTTGATACCATGCATTAAAAATCACTAAAATGCAAAAGAAAAATTTAAATCCTGATTTTTTTTAATATTTAATTTTTTATCATTTCCATTTTGTTATTGTTAAGTGCCGTCAAGTCGATTCCTACCCATATCGACCCTTTATAGGGTTTCCGATGAGCAGCTGGTGAGCTTGAACCACTGACCTTGCAGTTCAACTGGCTTTGCAGTCTGGCACATTGGAAGTAAATAATAAACAATAGAGTGATTTCTTAACATTGTTGTTAAATGCCATAGAATCAGTTCTGACTCATAGTGACCCTGTATAGGGTTTCCGAGGAGCGACTAGTGAGCCTGAACCACCAACCTTGCAGTTCAAACCAACCCTGCAGTCCAGTGCATTAACCCACAGCAAGCACCATACCAGGACTCCCATTTTTACATTATCCTAAATAGAATATGTCTCAACCATTAGAAATGATGATTTTGAAAAAAGAATAAGGCACAATGTGGAAATATTTGTGAATAAAATTTAGGTAAAAATTATCAGAGGACAAAACTTAACATGCCCTATGACTTTTGTTGGGTCCTGGTGTGGTGCTGTAGGATAAGCACTGGACTGGTAACTTCAAGGTCGGAAGTTAAAACCCACCAGTAAATCTGGGAAATCCTATACAAGTTTGCTATGAGTTGGAACCTACTTAGTGGCACACAACAATGTGCTTGTTGTCAGTTTCTGTCACGTGGATTCCAACTCAAGGTGACCCCATGTGTGCAAAGTCTAACTAAGTCTTCCACAGGGTTTTCAAAGCTGTGAGCTCTTAAAGCGATTTGCCAGCCTTGTCTTCTGAGGAACCTTTGGATGGGTCCCAGCCACCAACTTTTACTCTAGTAACTTACCTTTCCTAGCCACACAAGGAGACTACACTATGATAAAAATCAAGAAAACAGATGACTGTAAAAACCAACAACAGTAATTATATGGCGCTACAGGATACAGATTGGACTGCAAGGTTGGTGGTTCAAACCCAACAGCTACTCCTTGGAAACCCTATACAGGGTCACTATGAATCAGAACTAACAGCACTTAACAACAGCAACAGATGTAGGATAATAAAATTTTATGTCTGTCCTCTATTTTCCTATTTATTCTTATATTGGTTATATTTTTTATTTTTGTAAGGTTGAGTTCATTAGGGAAATGTGGTGGTGGTGGTGGTGGTGTGCTATGGAGTCAATTCCAACCCTGCCTAGGGTTTCCAAGGCTGTAAATCTTTAGGAGAACAGAAAGCCTCATCTCTCTCCTGCAGAGCAGCAGGTAGATTTAAACTGCTGACCTTGTGGTTAGCAGCGCAGCACATAATCCACTTACTATGCTACCAGAGTTCCTTAAAGACACCATAGGTAATAGTATGAAAATTCTTAAAATGTCCCTTTAAGGCAAATGGGGGCTTGGTCTTGATCTCCCCAAAAGGACAAGAAGCTAGTTAGTTAGCCTCAATGTTCTCTGGCAAACACCATGCCAAAGAATAAGTATTTTAACCAGAACTGTCCCCACTCCCACCTTTGAAAGTAAGACTTTATAGAAACAGCGCAGAGGCATGGAGCAGTGTAAAGAAAGTCTGAGAGAGGAGAGGTGAAGAAGACCTAATAAAGAATCCCAACTTTTGGCTCTACATTGAAAAAGTCGTTCTATAAAATGTCACTGGAATCTATTGTCTCCAAGAGCCCCTCTGAACTTCTCCCCACATCATACCTTTAGAAGTACATGGCAGAGTCCAAAAGCCATGCTTTTGAAAAGAGAATGATGAGAATAACCCTCTTGTTCTGTAAGGAGAGAA